TTCCGGTCTGTCGCATTCATATGAATATAATTCTATGGATGAAGAAGTGCAGTGTGACTGCGGCTTTAATCTAAACGTCTGTTTAGTTCAAATGTTTATTACTTACATTATCTCTCAGCCATTGTGTGAATGTTCAATGCAGTCTCAGATGACAGTCTTGATTAAACACGATACTCAACAGTCTACTGATGTTTGCTGCCTCATTACAAACATACGCATTATAAATTGATGAAACATTGATCAATTAACAAGAGATATAAATGATAAAGTTTAAACATAACTTACTACTCTTAGGGGTGGCACTGGATAAATATATAATACATATGTCCTGCGTTTCATTTTCTGCCAGCAACGCTCAGAAAACAATTGGGTTTGGCTGGCTTTGTCTCCGTCTGTTTCCTAGAGTCCCACATATAGCGGCAGCTACACTGCAAAAAATGCTTTTCTTACTTAGATTTTTTTCTCTTGTTTGTAGTCCAAATATCTAAAAATTCCTAAATCAAGAAGAGTTTTCTAGACAAGCAAAACATATTGTCTTGTTTTGAGAAATAATATGCCAATATTAAGTGAGTTTTTCCTTAAAACAAGCAAAATAATCTGCCAATGGGGTAAGCAAAATAATCTTACGTCAAAAGAAAAAACAAGATTATTTTGCTCATGTATTCTGGCTGACGGAAAACGTGACCTAAAGTACATGCAAATGTTGAAGACATGCTGGCGAATAGCCCCATAACAACAGTCTTGTGTTCTGATTGGCCTGTTTTTCACTGCCCAAGTAGCAAATAATTCTGGCCCAGATTTGGCATGAAGCTGGCAAATCAGGCATTCATCCGGCATTGGCATACAGCATGTGGGCCAAACATAAGGTAGTATTTGGTCCAGTTGTTCAAAACTGATATGTGGGCCACCAAAGTTTTCCCTATCTTGACCCACATTTAAAATGCTTTTAAATTATTTTTTGAGTAAAGAACAAAATTTTAGGTCACTTTGGGAAAAAAACACACCCATAAAGCACCATGCTCCCTGGGTTTATCAATTTCATTGCAGTTGGGACACAACAAAATATCTGGCCCAATTATGGGTTATTATCTTGGCTGAGTCTTGGCCCAGATATGGTCCATGTTTGGCCATTGTCTGGAAGCCAGGCTTGGTCCAGTCATGTACCATAATTCACTGCAACAAGTGGGCAAAGCAAAAGCTGATTGTGTGGGCCAGAGCTGGGCCAGAAATATTTTGCTATGTACGTGGCGTTTTTACTCATGGAATTTACATGGGAATGAGGTAACAATGGTGTTTGAGGCCATTTAATGATTTTGTAATATTCAACAAGGCACATTTTAAACTTATTTAGTATTGCAATTATTTTATAAAGCAAAATCTGGTCACCCTATATTTTGATAGTCCATTTAGTTACATTGCATCTACATGCCGCCTAATTCTCATTACATTATAAGTAGACTGTTAGGGTTGGGGTTTGGGTTAGTGTAAGTTGACATGTACTTGCGACGTTTCTTATAGTCAGTTAAATGTCTGTTGAAGGAGCAGAATCAGCAGATATTAAGCAGACAGTCTACTAATACTCAAATGGACCATCAAAATACATTTTTACCCAAAATCTCCATCTATATTTAATATACCTTCTTTAGACCCCTAAATGACCAGCATATCCCCTGAGATACAAATATTTAGATACAGATTATAAAAAAAAGTTCAAAATTATTTATTAATTTGCATAAACGTAATACGTTAACACTTTACAACTTAAAAAAGACACGTTAACTCATTGTAAATATGTTAAATACATCAACTTGTACCTGGATTTGAGTAGTTTCGATTTCAGTGCAGCCTGTTGACTAAACAGAATACATCAACAATGTCACCAAGTTTAAGCATTCACAACAAATAACTTCAAATCGATACCAAGAAATAAGACTCAGTTTCTCAGCCTTACTGGACAGCCTCTAAAAATATACATGGCAGCAAACTTATCTGCGTAAGCCATTTTCACTTTTCAGATAAACATGGTATAGTATGGTTCAGACTGCCTAGCATCCTATGCCTTTACAGGCTGTTTGGATTAAAACTGTGTTGTTTGCATAGAAAACAATGTGACAGAATAAAATCAAACAGTACAGACTGGCTTGGGCAGTTTGTCTTTGACAGATCACTATATATTACAAACACAGACAGCCTCTAGTGGCTAATATAGGACATAAGAAGTTGGTGTCATTTTTTCTTGATTTAAAGTAGGTGGATAGTTCCAGAAAGGAGCACTTGGACTATAAAACACCAGTAAGTATGAGGCTAATTCAGATTTTTTCACTTTCCTATTGACAGGTGTATTTCTTCTTTAAATAATTAAAAGTTGTTTGTGGCGCTGTTACCATTTAGCACAGTTTAATGAGCTGGGTCAATTCAAGGCAGGGTTAAATGCTCAACTGTAATTAATGTAATATCTAATGATCTAACTTATTCATGTATATTTAAAATTTTTACTTTAGCTAATCTACTATATTTAGATATTGTTTGAGTTGTTTGATTACAAGATTTATTGGATATAAAAAAGCATTGGTAAGTTTGAGGCTGTTTTTTTCTTATTGAGAAGTGCAACTTTTCTTTAAATAATGCATCAATTAAAATTTGTTTATGGCACTGTTACTATTTAGCACAATATGTTGAGTGAGCAGGGTAATTTCTAGGCAGTGTTTAATGCCCCAAAGATGCTTAATGCATTATTAATGATCTAACAAATCTGTAATTTTCAACAAATCTTTATGTCTTTTTTGTAGCCATTTGCATCAGCAAGTTTCTGTTAGAAAAGTGTTTCATTCTGCTGTTCCTGTTTTATTTTATTTTACAATCAGAAATGGAGCAATAAAACACTTTTATTTGCTAAAAACTGGATGTTTTGTGTTGATGATACATTGTTGCTCTGTTTCTGACAGATTCTATAAATCCAGTCCAGTCATGTCTATAAACATGAGTAGCAGATTTGGAAATCAGGACGTCTTGCCTCGAGAGATTTTATCTGGTTCCTTGAGTTTCGTTTTACGGTATATATCTGTCTGTTTGTCTGTCTGTCTGTCTGTCTGTCTGTCTGTCTGACTATCTATCTATCTATCTATCTATCTATCTATCTATCTATCTATCTATCTATCTATCTATCTATCTATCTATCTATCTATCTATCTGACTGTATGATTTGTCTGTCTATCCAGTAAAAAAAAATCAATTGATGCATAAATACATTTATAGACTTTCAGTTGTTAAATGTTAAACAGATAAATATAGTGCGGGTCAACCTTTTTCTGAACCACTGTGACCTAAAACCTAAAGAAGCTTGTTTGTTTTGTTTTTAAATTAATTTAGTGCGAATCGATTCACATCTGCTAGAATAGTTTTTAAGTACATACAAATTCAAGGAACAGGAACATCACACACACAAAAAAAAAACAATCATCACAGGAGGGTGAGATTAACAAAGGGAGGGGCCAGGAGAGGCAGCAGGGTGGAGAAGATGAAGGCTTAGGCTAAGGGTGCACTGAGGGGTTTATTGGAAAAGTTAGGTGTATTGTTGAGTCGGCAGGGCTTGAGGTCTGAAGGGAACCAGCGGGACTGGAGGTCTGAGGGGAAATTGCAGGGCTGGAGGTCTGAATGGAAATGGCAAAGCTGGAGGTCTGAGGGGAACTAGCAGGACTGTAGGTCTGGAGGGAAATAGCAGGCCTGTAGGTCTGAGGGGAACCAACAAGGCTGTAGGTCTGAGGGGAAATGGAAGGGCTGTAGGTCTGAGGGTAGCTGGCAGGGCAAGAGGTCTGAAAGAAAGCAGCAGGGATGGAGGTCTGATGGGAAATTGCAGGGCTGGAGCTCTGAAGAGAAATGGCAGGGCTGAAGGTCTGAGGGAAACCAGCAGGGCTTGTAGGTCTGAGTGGAACCGACAGGGCAGTAGGTCTGAAGGGAACCGGCAGGGCAGTAGGTCTGAGGACAAATGGCAAAGCTGCAGGTCTGAGGGGAACCAGCAGGGCTGTATGTCTGAGGGAAAATAGCAGGGCTGTAGGTCTAAGGGGAAATGGCAGGGCTGGAGGTCTGAGGGGAAATGGCAGGGCTGGAGGTATAAGGGGAACCGGCGGCGCTTCAGGTCTGAGGGGACCCGGCAGGGCTGTATGTCTGAGGGAAAATAGCAGGGCTGGAGGTCTTAGGGGAAATGGCAGGGCTGGAGGTCTGAGGGGAAATGGCAGGGCTGGAGGTATTAGGGGAACCAGCGGCGCTTCAGGTCTGAGGGGACCCGGCAGGGCTGTATGTCTGAGGGAAAATGGCAGGGCTGGAGGTCTTAGGGGAAATGGCAGGGCTGGAGGTCTTAGGGGAAATGGCAGGGCTGGAGGTCTGAGGGGAAATGTCAGGGCTGTAGGTCTGAGGGAAAATGGCAGGGCTGGAGGTCTTAGGGGAAATGGCAGGGCTGGAGGTCTGAGGGGAAATGGCAGGGCTGGAGGTATAAGGGGAACCGGCGGCACTTCAGGTCTGAGGGGACCCGGCAGGGCTGTATGTCTGAGGGAAAATGGCAGGGCTGGAGGTCTTAGGGGAAATGGCAGGGCTGGAGGTCTGAGGGGAAATGTCAGGGCTGTAGGTCTGAGGGAAAATGGCAGGGCTGGAGGTCTGAGGGAAAATGGCAGGGCTGGAGGTCTGAGGGTAAATGTCAGGGCTGTAGGTCTGAGGGAAAATGGCAGGGCTGTAAGTCTGAGGGTGTGGGTGTAAGTCTGAGGGTGTGGGTGTGAGAAGAAATGTGTTTGACAATCCTCACATGACTTTTGGCACAAAATGATGAGCCACAATCCTTTTTCACATGCAAAGACTGAAGCCCTCACCTATCACCAGTTCACCTGTTTATTATGGACTGCTTCAAAAGTTTGCTTTTTGGAGTGTATAGCAAGCATCAGAATATTTTTAACGTGTTTAACAACAGTCAGTTTACAGTGTTCAACAACAGTCGGTGCTGTACATACACATCCAAGGAACAAAAACACAATCATGGGGATGATGAAAGGACCCAACAAAGAACTGAATGTTCTGAATGTTATCTTCCATCATTCTCAAGTTAATTTGTTTTAACATACATTGTTTAACATTTTTGTTGTTTCCTTTGTTGTTGTAGTGCCTTTAATGAGCTATATTCAAGCAGGCCAAAAAGGTAATGTGCACAAACACACCTAGAGCTTCATAGAACGTTAAAAATAATTTACCAAAAATATCAAAGAACATTAGAACAAATTGTCCAACTCTGGTGTCTTTCTTTCAGGTATATATCGATCGCTTTTGTGATTGCAATGGTTTTATTTCTGACACTGACTCAGAGATCTACTGTGACACACACTCGACGCTCTTTACCCTCTGTGAAACTCAATACACCCATTATGACACCCATTGTAAACTGCAATGAAAAAGCAGCAGTGGCAGCAGATGCAGAAATTTGCTCAAAAATTGGAAGGTAGGATTTTAAAGAGCCTCTACATTCATGTTTCCACATGTATCCTATGGTCTTCATTATGTGAGCAGTGATAATTCTGCAACCTTTGACTATGCATTTTGAGGTTAATTATTTTCAAAGATTTTAGAACTATTAGGTTCCTAGTGATGTGTAATAAGCCACCAGGAAGGTATTAGGAGAAATAAGCCTTGGGTAACTGGCCGTATGACTAATTTTCGTAATTTAGTTCTTATAACCAAAGGTGGGTAGTAATATAGCCATTATACACTCCTGGAGAACATACAGTTTGAACATGTTTGAACTATACTGGTTAAAAAAACACACCTTGAAAAATACATTCTTTATTAGAAACCCAGTTATTTACTGCATACTTTATTCTTGCAAGCAGGAAAAATGTATTTGCATAAGCTAAGTATAATTAGTTATGCAGTACTGAAGATGTTTATTAGGCTGCTGCCAGTTTAGCTTTACTCATACTCAGACTGCATCATAAAGGCTGTATCCAGATACTAATGGATCACTCTTCTGTCTTTGCAGGGACATTCTGGGACGCAATGGTTCAGCAGTGGATGCTGCTATCGCTGCTCTGCTGTGTGTGAGTGTGATTAACCCACAGAGTATGGGCATCGGTGGAGGAAGCGTGTTCACCATATACAATGCAATAAACGGTAGTTTTCAGTTGACTCTTTGTTTTAAAGAAAAGACATTAATACTGCACAAAACTAAGAAGCTGTTTCTCTAAAGCACCCATAAAAAAGGGACAGAGATGCGTTGATACAGCCTTCCACCAGCTAATTTTGGTAACTATAGGCTGCGCTTCCCCACTCAACTGATTTTAAATCTGCCCCGAAAACATGTTCAACTTGGACAAGGAGATTTAAGTTCAGGCGTTAATGAGCAACTAATTCAGATGCAAGCAACACCTTGACCAAGTGAATGTGAACATCATCCAGCATTTCTCTGTATGATTTCTAATCATGAATTGTGTTTCTGGGTTAAGGATAGGACTGAAATAGTAGCATGTACACCATTGCAACCAGTAGTGATGGAAGAAATTAAGCTTTTCAAAGATTCAAATCAATTAATCTAATTGCTCAAAAAATATTCACCACATGAAAGAGACACCTGCTGGTCAAAATTATGTTGTTGCAACAAAAACATTCATTAAAATTGGGTTTTACAAACACATTGGAAACAATTAAATGCATAACCTGTTAAATACACTCAGCATATTATCTATTGTCATTAAATGTTAAGAGTTCAAGGCTTATATTTTGAAAATAACTTGATATAAACATGTTTCCAGTGCATGTTGGGCTCTGGGAGGGCTACCCCTTGTCACCAATTCTGTTCATATTTTTTATGAATAGAATTTTAAAGTGCAGCCTTGGGCTGGAGGGGGTCCGCTTAGGGAAGTTTGACATGGCTGGGATGAGAAGCAGCACCTCCAAGTCTGAGGCGGAAAAAGGTGGTTCGGAGGCGGATCGGTACATCTGCAGCAGTAATGTGGTTAATGTAACGGTCCGTTGTGGTAAAGAAGGAGCTGAGCCGAAAGGGAAAGCTCTCGATTTATCGGTTAATCTACGTTCCTACTCTCACCTGTGGTCATGAGAAAGGACAAGATCTTGGATACAAGTGGTTGAATTGAGTTTCCTTCGAAGGGTGGCAGGGCGCACCCTTATTGATAGGATGAGGAGCTCTGACACCCGGGAGGAGCTCAGAGTAGAGCCTCTGCTCCTCCTCATCGAAAGTCAGCTGAGCTGGCTCGGACATCTGTTTCGAATACCTCCTGGACGCCTATCTAGGGAAATATTCCAGGCATGTTCCACCTGGAGTAGGCCTCAGGGAGGACCCAGGACACGCTGGAGGGACTAAGTTTCTCGGCTGGCTTGGGAACACCTCATTAACCCCCAAAGGAGCTGGAGGAAGTGTTTGGGGAGAGGGGAGTCAGGAGTTCTCTCCTAAGACTGCTGCCCCCATGACCCGTCCCCGGATAAGCAGACGAAAATGAGATGAGAGATGAGAACTACTATTTTTCTTTTCATTTATATAATTTTAACATGAAATCATAACAATGTCTACAAATCAGTTAAACTGATCTGAGGTCATGTTAAAAGTTGTACACCATGTCACCACTGGGAGATGATCTGAGTAAACAAATATTTGTAAAGATTTTAGTTTTATGAAACAGTTCTACAAAAGCAGACATCCCAGTTACCAACCTATTGATGTTACAGGTAGGTTATGCCTTGGCTAGATTAGACTTTGCAGCTTTGACAGAAATACTGATCCAGGACATAAAAAGGTGCTGATCCAGTAACCACAACAACCTAGTTGATCTGTGGACTATGACCAGCATCTCATTGTGGTTAATGAAAACTTAAAGTTTGATGTCTTCACCCACAGGAACCGTGGAGATAATTAATGCTCGAGAGACTGCCCCAATGAGTGCTACAGCAAACATGTTTGACAAGGAGCCCCAAAAAGAGAATCCAGGTATCATCCACCATACATAATTATACCTTTACAACACAGATTTAATAAGCACATTACCTGTTAATGATAATTAGGCCCACACAGAATCTATGTGTGCAGAAATGCGCCTTTTTTGTCCATCTAGTTTACTGTAAATATATGTATTTATTTTTATATTAATTGCGGTAATATTATGGACTAACATGCATATGTTTATGAATGATTAAAAATACAGTTTGTAAAGTATTTGTTTCTGTCTTTTAGTAGACATATGAGTTTATGATTTGGTTACCAAACGAATTGATCTAATTGGAATTGGGTTGTAAACCTTAATTAAATAAAAGTTTAAAAGTTATTTTTTTGTTTCACTTTTTAGGTTTTTAGTTATTATACTTTCAAAATTCATTCTGGATAAATCCACAGTTTTAAAAAAAAAAAATCTGCGCAGAAATAACAAAAAAATGTTTGGAGGTTCTGTATGGTTCTAATGATAATCCAAAATAAACAACAAACTGAATATTTCTTCCAGTGTAGGATCATAAATGACTTGATTTTCTCCTTGTTTTTGTCCTGATTGTCAGGATTATTAATAGCTGTACCAGGAGAACTGCGTGGTTATAAAATGGCTCATGATAGGTATGGGAAACTCCCATGGAAAGATCTGTTTGAGCCCAGTATAAAGCTGGCATCGGAGGGATTTAACATTAGCAAAGGCCTGGCCTATGCCATCAATATGGAAGAAAGGAAAATTCGGAAAAATATAGCATTGCGGTGAGAATATTTATGTACCACATAAACCAAGCCAAGCTCGTCCCGAGGACGTTTCTGGAGACCGCAATTTACGAAGCCGGAGGTACATATGGCATTTAAGCGAACGCTATGGGGCGGTGTGATACCGCTCCTCTTCTTCGCGCTCTCCCGCTGACAGCTCACCTCCGTGTGAAAGGCTTTCCTGCCGCAACCAGTTTGTCCGGTTAGCTCGTCATATAAGTCAGCGAAGGGGAGACCGGGAAAGGAGCTGACCACGACGACCAGAAATCAGCTAAGACAAAAACAGAGTACAAAAAATAAAGTGAACAAATTCATAACAGGGTGAGAATGTGATCAAATTGAAAATGTGGTCAAATCAGACAAGGGCTTTTCTTTTTCTAGATGGCTTATGTAAATCGTTGCTTGGGTTTAGGGAAGCAAGCGGGCTGGCGTGCAGGTCAATCGGTAAAACCGGTTGGTTTTAGAGAAGAAGGAGGAGGAGGGTGGGTCAGCCGATTGGCCGGTCACCCAGTCAATCATTCAGTCATTTAGTCAGTTGGACCAATGGTCACTCGACAGCGGCCTCCGGCGGCTTTACGTTTGGGCACGAGTTGCGTGGATTCACGAAAACAAAAACTGCACGATTACTTACCTCCCGGGATGTATTTTGTGGTCTCCATAACGTCTGCGGGACTAAGTTTTTGCCACAAATCAACATAATTCCTAATACTGTCATAATGCAAATTGTATCTGTAATAATTATAACATCATCTTAATTGTGCTCTTGTCTTTCTCTTCAGTGAAGTGTTTTGCGACTCAGACAATAAGCCCTTGAAGGAAAGCAATTTTACCAGATTTCCCAAGCTAGCTAAAACCTACCGGACAATAGCAGAAGAAGGACCAGATGCATTTTACGATGGGTCCCTGACTCAGAGTATACTGGATGAAATCACAGTTGCTGGTTATTTCATACCTTAAACTTTTTCCCATATTTGAGTTTCTACTGAACTCATTTGTTTCAGCCAGGGGTCACCAATCCCAGTTCATTAGGGCCGGTGTGCCCTGCAGGGTTTAGCTCCAACTTGCCTCAACACACCTGCCAGGATGTTTCAAGTGTACCTAGTAAGACTTTGATTAGCTTGTTCAGGTGTGTTGGATTAGGGTTAGAGCTAAAATCAGCAGGACATCGGCCCTCCGGGAACAAGTTTGGTGACCATTGGTTTAAGCTAACAACTTGTTTCTGACAACACAGGAGGAAACATCACACGTGAAGACCTTAAGCGTTATAAGCCAGATCTGCAAAAGTATGCATTGAACTTTACAGTGGGGAAATACATATTTTTTGCTCCTACTGCTCCATTCGGTGGACCTGTGCTCGCTCTGATCATGAAAATACTCCTGGGCAACGGTACAGCAGGTAGTAGCAAATCACATTTACTTCATTGCATTTTGTAAAAGTTACTTTGCTTTAGAAACAACATCTAATTTAGATAAGTTGCTAGTTAGGTTTGAAACCAGTTACATGATGTCTTGTTAGAGAGTTCAACAATGTTTGAAATATGGTAGTAACCTGTTTATTGTCACAACAACTGAGCAATTTTCACAAATTTTTCAAGAGTTCACACTTAGCTGATGATTGATTATAAAGCTTGTTTGCAAGCTGCAAACGATTGATTATAAAGCACACTGTCCCGAGAGAGAGCCTTGAGTTTCTTGAGCCCAGGGCTCTCTCCTGTTTGCAGGGTTAGAGGGGAGTTTGAGCTCAGGTAGCTCTTAAGAACTTAAGAAATAAATTGCTATATAGAGATAAACTGCTGGTTAAGAGCTCATCTATAGTGCTAATTTAGATTGACTTATTCATTTATGATGCATGTTCTTGATTATGACTAATGTTTTATGGAATTAGATTGGCTGGATCCTTTGCAGTCAAATTACTCCATGCTGTTGGAATGTTATAGATCAGAGGACAGACGAGAGGTCTAAGACAGTAATGGCCACTGTGTTCATGTCTTAAAATGGATTAAATCATTCTAGTCACATGAGTCTCTGGGCCTACTTACACTATGCTATCCGAACTGTGCCCAGGCCCGTTTCCCGGATCGTTTGAGAAGTGTGAGTGCGCTGAATCGGGCTCAGGCAAGGTTCACTTGGCCGGCCCTGGCCTGGTTGGAAGAGGTGGGCCTGAGTGCGGTTCACTTGGGCTTTGGCGCAGTACATTTGTAGTGTGAGTGCAAAACGCGCCAAAGCCCGAAACTGAAAGCGAGACGTGACTTTTAAGTGACTGTTTCATATGGATGTATTAATCATTCTTGCTGTTCAGTGAACGCAAACTGCCGTCGTTTATTAAAGATGCAACCCCCTCACTGCACGACAGCTGCACACCTTCAGCAGACCTCCTCGTTCCTGCAGCACGAGGGCTTTATGATTGCTTATGAGCGCCAAAAGTGGTGAATCTGTTCGGCGAAATATTTGACTGCGTGTCACTGCATATAACGACTGAAGCGATATAACTAGAGAAATCTCCACTGTGCTGCTGAGTGAGAGCGCTTCTCACTGAACAGCGCAGCAGCGATGACAGAAGCATGCCGAGGCCCGATTGTGGTGTGAGTGCCGGCCGTCGGGGGAGACGGGAGAGGGGACAATCGTGCTTTGGCCTGGTTCGAGGCAACTGTACCTAGTGTGAGTACGGCCTTAGCTTTTGTTTAGTCTTTGTTGGGGAGTCGTTATTTTCACAAGGTTTCCCTTAAAGCATGCTATGTATAGCGAGTGAAATGGTAAGGGGTGAGATTTCAGATTCCTTGTGATAGCTTGGAGTGTGGATACTGGCCTTTGAGACTTCAAACGGAGTTTGTGGACTGTGATCTTCTTGGAGATTTGGGTTAAAGACATGGCGGATGCATTGAGTGAGGGTGTTTGATAGAAGTGTGAACTTACACTGCCCTCACGGTTTGGTAAGCCTGGAGTGATGGGATTGGGGTCTGCGATGTCAGAGGAAGTATAGCCCAAAGGGTTTTGAGTAGAATCCCTTCACTACCCACTAACAGTTTGTGTTCCTAGAAAGGATACAATGGTGACTGTCAGCGCTGGCTTGAGAGAGCAAATTTCTCCCTCTTAGCAGCCTCTAAAGTTTGTATTTAGGGACTTGAATCGGAATTCAATCTGTTGTTTGGCTAGCTGTGCTTGAAGCCCAGGAGAAAAATCTGCAAAGGCTTCTTTAAGATTATCTCTCTCCTCCTGTAAAATTGGTGCCGTCATCTGATGTATATTCAAAGAGGGTTCTATGACTGGCAGTGAATGGGCCTGTACAGACTGACTTTGTTGACTTATTCTGTTGTTGTGAAACGTTGCAGACAATTTTCTACATAAAAGGACATGTCTCACATCATTCTTAATGTTAACTGTTGTCCAAGACTTGCCTTGAAGAGCATACATACACTGCACAACAGGTGGGACAAGCAGTTCCAAAAGGAAGAACTTGCCACACAATCACTCTGGGTGGTTCTTTTACCTTGAGATTTCAGCTGTGATAATGCAGCATTTGGCGAGGCAGTGGCGCAGTAGGTAGTGCTGTTGCCTTACAGCAAGAAGGTTGCTGGGTCGCTGGTTCGAGCCACTGCTTAGTTGGCATTTCTGTGTGGAGTTTGCATGTTCTCCCTGCGTTTGTGTGGATTTCCTCCGGGTGCTCCGGTTTCCCCCACAGTCCAAACACATGCGGTACAGGTGAATTGTGTAGGCTAAATTGTCAGTAGTATATGAGTGTGTGTGTGGATATTTCCCAGAGAAGGGCATCTGCTGCGTAAAAACTTGCTGGATAAGTTGGCGGTTCATTCCGCTGTGGCGACCCCGGATTAATAAAGGGACTAAGCCGACAAGAAAATGAATGAATGAATAATGCAGCATCGGTTTGTCTTCTGGGAGCAACCGGATCTGTTGGAACATTCCTTATATATTGCCATTGACTGAAAGGAGTAGGTAGTAACAATCATTTGTAACTTAATTTTGTATTTTAAATGTAAAATGTGAGTAACTTTCTTCACAGTTTCATTTTAAATGGGTATTAAACAAATTACAGTTAAATCTGAAAAGTATTTTAAACCAACAAAGCGATTACTTTTAAAGGGACCATAGAATGCACTGATTGGGTATGTTTAAATTGTCTGATATCAACATAATAGGGATGTGTCTTAGGTAAGTGCTAAACATTTAACTAAAATCCAACATTGCATGAATAATAAAACATTAAGTTATTAGTTAATTTAGTTAATGATGAAACATCTGATTTCAGATTCTTCAGGTTTCAACCTCTCAAACAAAAGTGTGTCCACACCAGAGAATATGACTTTGACCTATCATCGCATCATAGAGGCTTTCCGCTTTGCTAATGCTCAGAAGGCAAAACTGGCAGACCCACTTCACGAAAAAAACGTCACTGAGGTCAGTTTAACCATACTGATGGATTTCTTTGTGGTGGGGAGTTATTATGAGATTTAAAGACATTTAGTGTGACTCACAGTGTTTTCACAGTGTATTTAGGAAATGGCCTGGCAAATGGTACAGTCCTCTGCCAATCATGTTCCTTGTTTTTCTCTGATTATGTGATATTATTATTATTATTATTATTATTATTATTATTATTATTATTATTATTATTATTAATATTATTTACTTATAATGCTTCCTAACACACAATTAACCAAGGGTGAAAGGTGCCACATAAGTCTGAAAGATTGACCAGATCTCTCAGAGCCATATCTGATGTGATTTACTCTAATGCTCCTGTTCTGATTTTCTCTGTTTCAATGTTCCTATATTTACATATTTTGCTATTTTTATTTCACAGTTTGTTAAATACATGACCTCAGACAGCTTTGCGGACAACATCAGGAGTAAGATTAAAGATGACATCAAACAAACCAGCTATAATGAGCAGGGCATTAAAATTGTACCTGACGACCACGGTACATCTCATCTATCTGTCATCGCTAAAGATGGCAGTGCAGTGGCGGTGACCAGCAGCATTAATAACTTGTAAGTTATCTAAAACACCCAGTTTAAGCTATTTAGTTAGACCAACAAAGCTCGCTAGAGAGTGTTTAGCATCCCGCTCAGTTTCAAGACAAATCTGAACATGTGAAATACTGTAGGTAACTGTCTTTAGAAATTTTTGTTATTCAATTCAGCTTTATTTGTACAGCACTTTCACAACGTAGATTGTGTCAAAGCAGCTTCACATAAAAGATCATCGTAAATTGAAACAGTGTAGAGCAAATCCATCCAACCATATCTTGTTGCCGAATTAGTTGTGTAGATGGCAGATGAATCAAAACAAGACATGATTGTTGGCTTTGCTCCAGAGGATCTTTGCACACTGAAGTCTGAAATTTTGGTTTGCATTTTTTTTCATGTATTTAAATCAAAAAGAAATCGTCACACATGCAAACCTTGCACACGATGCGTATTACTTAATCGGTTGTAAAAGAAACCACAAAACAACACAAAATAAAGTCTTAGAGTAGTGAAGATTATTTTATTTTGTTGGAAAGAGATCTACCTCCTTATCAAAGAGCTGCGGGATAGACCTGACACATTCAACATTTACTTCAGGGTGTTCATACTTTGCTAGTGATACTGAAAGACATATTAAAAAGAACACCCCTAATTACCGTGAACCAATTGGTCCTGAACAGAGACTGATAGTTTATCTGAGGTATGGAGACAAAGTCAGACACACAAACAGACACGCCTTTTGGATTTTACCTTTTGCTTGATTGGCTTTAGAAGTTATTCCAGTAAACAGGTAAAATTTTCAAGTAGAGTTTATGATGACACCATGGTGGTGGGTTTTTCATGATGCATTGTTCCTTGACTCTTTTTAATTGTGCATGTGTGCATGTGTGTTCTCCCAGTTTCGGTTCAGGTGTGATGTCATGCTTAAGAGGTATTATATTTAATGATCAGATGTCGGATTACACTAGTCCTGAAATGAAAAATGGACCTAATGCAATCAAACCAGGTGAAGAAAAAATACATTTGAGGAGTTTAAATGATTGCAATATTAAAACTGCCGGTATAAATGAATATTTTGGCATATTTTTACCAGGTAAAAGGCCACTTTCATCAATGTGTCCCACAATAATACTGGACAAAGACAGCAGAAAAGTGAGAATGGTAGCTGGAGGTGCAGGAGGGACCAACATCACCACATCTGTTGCTCAGGTGAGACAAATATATCAACAGATTACAACTATTTAAGCATTACTCAACTTTACACCACATGCCTACATCACCACATAATGGAAATCAAATCAGTATAGTCATATTTGATTCATTATATTTGTGTGATTTTTAAAATATATTTATCTTTTATCTATTTCTGTCTTTACAGGTTATCCTGGACCACCTGTACTTTGACTATAACCTGCAGAAGGCTGTTGCAGAACCCAGAGTTCAGGTCCCACCCAATGTGACAAATGTGGAGGAGGGATTTGATTCGGTAGGATCTCCACACTTCATGACAACATTTTATTATGCAAATTAGATTCACTATATCAAAAAAGTGATGATGATGTTACTAAATTTGTCTATGTTGTATTTATGAACGCAGACAGTAATGGGTTGGCTGTCGAGGAAGTATCATAATATTTCTCAGTATACTTCATTAACAATGGTCCAGGTGGTTGAAAAGGAAGGGAGCCAAGTCTGTGCTGTATCTGACACCAGGGATGCTGTATACTACAGGCCGAGCAGTGCTTCTGTGAAAGGGCTGTCCAGTGACAGCTACATAATCATTTGTTTGGGTGTTTTGTGGATGCTATTAAACGGGGCTTAAAATTAACATTTACCATGCACAAATGCGCCATGGCAAGGTGGTAAGATACAACATGATTTTTGTATTATTACTAATTCTGACATTATATAAATCACATATTACCTAATACACTGAAAAAAAATATTCAAAGATGATTCCTTGAATTTACTCAATTTTTTTACGTTAAGTTCTAAACAATTTATTTGTGTTGAATTTAAACAAACAAATTAAGTTGAACATTATTAAACTAAATTTGTTTGTTTAAATTCAACACAAATAAATTGTTTGCAGCAGTTCTGCATGCAACACTTTTTTCAGTGTACTTTAATTTGAACTAATAATGATTTTGAATCATTTTAATTGATATTTCTTGATCATGAATGATTATCCAAATGCTATCAGCGTAATTAATACTAATAGTGGTAAATAGTATAATTAACATTTTATTTTAAATTGATAAGTTACATTAAGGATTAATAATGAAAGGTCAGGGTTCGGATAGTCACCCTGCATTCAGATGATGATGGTGATGGTGATTATGATCATGATGCACTAGTCACGCTAGAGGAAGATGTTTGTTTACCCATAAACACTGAGATACAGACACCTTGTCTGACCAAGAAGTGAAACTGAAGACAGTCAGGAGATATAAAACAAACACTCTCCAACAGTGCATGTAAAACCTGTATGTTTATGCCAGTTCAACCATTCACTTCACTTTACAAAACACACAAGACCAAAGTGCACCTTCACCAGGTCAGTAGAAACAAGGTGAAAGAAGGAAGTGTAAATATTTCAACTCTTTGTTTAATCTATCTCTCGTTTTATGGTAAGATATTTGTGATGTACCACCTGGACTTTTAACATCTGCTTATTAAATGTCTTTATTCTCTTTTACTCAATTGCAATTTATTATGTTGATCTTTGTTAGCTTATATATTGAAAGCAAACTAAAAGACTTCTGTAACATACTGCATTCAGTTTTCATAATTTTATTCTTCTTTAAATGTATGCTATGATGAGTGCAGCGTAGTGACTTCATAATATGCCCCATTATACATCAGTCCCACTGAGGAGCTCCAGAAGGAGAACAGAAGTGAATCCTCATCTTGCTTGGATAAAAGCATGCTAAATAATTAGAGGGAATGTAAATGAGAAGTGAAGGATGAAAGAGAATCAGGATATTTGCATTGCTGTTTTGTTTTATTTTTATTTTTAATTAATTGGATATTTTGATATCATTGTTTTAATATTACCCTGTGCAGGGACTGCAGGTGGAAATTAGCAATCCTGCTACAACCTGGCACAATGCATCTTTCCTCCTTGAGGTTAATGCAATTTTTTGTGTATTGTCCTTGTTAAATAAATAAGTTCCTTCATTCATTCATTCATTCATTCATTCATATATTCATTAATTTGTTCATTTTTGTGTAGCAATCATTTAAAGCAGTGTTTCTCAACCACATTTTTGGAGAAGCACCAGCACTGCATGCGTTGGATGTCTCCTTTGCCTGTCACACTCATTACAGGTCTTTCTGTTTCTACTAATGATGATGATCTCAATCAGGTGTGTTTAGTTAAGGAGACACGGAAAATGTGCAGAGCTGGTGCTCTTCCAGGAACGTGGTTGAGAAACACTAAAGGGTCTTAACTAAATTTGTATGTTGTTTTCATATTTTATGATTAAAGTCTTCATTTTTTCCTCAAATTTGAGCTAAGTAACCTCAGAGGCTTCCACACTACAGACTAATGCACTCTATTCATATGATCCTTTCTCAATACTCAAGGACAATAAGTTATGAAACAAAGCATTAAAACAACAGACACATTATATATGTACAACATATGCAAGCACATTTGCAGTGAGATTGTGAGTGTGAGACTCGACCAATAGGAATTTAATACAATCAGGAGAGAAAAACAAATAAATTTGTTTTAACCTTTTAGGGAACTAAATCTAGTTACAACATCAGTCCAGTGTCTAACCCAGTAAAATGGGACGTATGGTGACGTCTTAGTAGATTGGGTGAATGCATGCCATATCGAACACTATTACAGTGTTTTGTTGACCATTGTTGACCATGTTCCCATTACTAAATCAATAAAAATTGCCTAATCTTTTTGTTAAAAGGATAATTTTGTTTTTTACAATACAAAGCCAAAGTAAATAATGCAACATCACCTCATTAAGATTCTGTACACACTTTATACACTGAGCGATGCATAAATATCACTGAGCATTTTGTTTAGCAAAATCACTCACATTTGTCAACGTTAAATACAATAACAATAAAACGATGACGATAATAATAATAATATTATTAATAATAATAATAATAATAATAATAATAATAATAAATTAAAGATAATCTGTTTTCATGGCACACAAAATAAAAATAAAAATTTAATGTTGAGGCAAATGATCTGTATTTATTTAATTTGTAGTTATTTTTAAAACAAGAAATGTTATATTTAAAAAATCTTATAAATTGATCAGAAGGTACCACCATTTAATCTGACAAATGTACACAATTATAGAAGTTTAGTAGAGCTACAATGGAAGCAATGACATATTTAAAAACAGCTAGCAATAAAAAAAATTATTAGTTTTAAATAAGTTTTACACAGTAGAACCACACAGTTCCACAGTTATAGTGTATTAAGAGTATAATGATGTAGCTTCTCTGCATACCAAGGTTATTTTAGTTTTGGATTTTTAAAATGAGTTTATATTTTGATACTGTTTTAAATTTACTTTACATTTTAGTTGAGTTGTTGTTTGGTTCATTGATAATTTAGTTTGTTTAAGGTCAGTTTTTATTTGGTGATGACATTGCTATTTAGTTTTACTTTTAGTTTTAGTAATTCTAGTTTATCAGAGTAAACGGAGGACATCCAGTGTCAGCCAAAACACAGTGTAATAATTGCAAAGTTTATATTAACACCAGTGCAAACCTCATATTAATAATAAATAAATGAACAAACATTCAATTAAAAACCACACAAATACAACCAAATATTAAAATAATTCAACTTAAAAAAATATATTAGTTTTATAGCTTTTAAATGAAGAAATGAGTATTAAAACTCAGCAAAAGTGCTAAAACTGAACAGACAATTAAATGAGGGATTTGTGTATAATAATGCTAAATTATCAAAAGTCATATATGAAATAGTCACTTATTAGGTTGATTAAAAATTGCTTTCAGTTTATTTAAACAACAATTCCATTTATTTACTTATTTAGACTTTTACTTTATTTTTTTATTAATAATTCTCCCCTGTGTTTCCCAGTGTTGGGTTGCGGCTAGAAGGCCATCCGCTTTGTAAAACATTTTTAGGAAAAGTTGGCGGTTCATTCCGCTCTAGCCACCCCTGATAAATTAGGGACTAAGCCGGAAAAGAAAAAAAAAAAGAAAAAAACTGAATGATTTGTTATTTTTAATATTTATAATTTATTAACAACAAATACAGAATTGTACAGAATTATACAAATATATATGCCAGAGTGCACATAAAAACATTCAGTAATTAAAAATCTTATATCCCTTTAGAATATTACAAGTCTTTTTTGCTTTTTTATTAACAACATTTTCCAAACTTGTAGTAGTCTATAGTCTCATTGCAGGAAGTGAACAAAATTTGGCTCTGATCCAGTCCATTTTTTTATGTATAACAGTCTTTCCCATAATAAAAAGGTTGTACTGGAAAGATGTGTTTTGTACATGTATAGACATAATAAAAACAAATTTCAAGTGAATGAATTTTGAATGTTATGTCTATGTACGTGACGGTGATGACTCTGTGCGCCGCTAGAGGGAGTATAAATAGGCTCGAGTCCAAAAGCGAAACTGAAAGAAGGCGGAAGCGTTAAAAGGTAAGCTATTGTCTTGATTAAATCACGGATTTATTTTCAACAGCCTTATAATTTGTGGCAAGTTCATACCACACATTCATGTAGCCTACCCAGTAGTAGTGAAGTTTGCTGAAACTTGGGGTTTTGGTTCCTCATTTGTTTCCTCATATTTTCTCAACCGCAGCGCTGACAGAAAAAAAGCAGAAATACAGTGTTGAAACCAAAAACACCGTCATGTTTAGCGTTATACTTCAGTTAATATGCTCTGGTGTTTGTTTAAACATACTTCTCTACAGGTGTGTTTTATGAATGAGGTTTTATTGTAGGCGTACAGCAACAATGTGAACACAAGCACAGACTGGAGTGAAGTGATGGAACAGATTCGCCATGTTTGTTTATCTGCGCCATTATTAAAATAACGGTTTTAACCTGTAGCGGAGCACTCGACACAGTACAGAGGAGCTGACCAAAACATGAAGCAGATGTGATTTAAACAGCAGTGAAAGTTTTAGTTTCTGTAACCTCTGCATTGGCTCAGTGATTGAAGTGTCTTTTTCCCTTTGAGTGTAGTAAACCGGACTGCAGACACAATACTGTACGCAATAGTTATATCCTAAATGTACTAAATAATTGTTTCCTAAATCTATAATAGTCGTCATATTATGAAGGGTGAATATAGGCTAACACACATTTCTACAGTTATAGTAAGAGGATACATTGATGTAGCTTCTCTGTATACCAAGGTTATTATAGTTTTCCATTTTTAAAAATAGTGTATATTTTGATACTGTTTTTAAATTTACTGTACATTTCAGTTCAGTTGTTGTTTGGTTCATTAATAATTTAGTTTGTTTAAGTTTAGTTTTTATTTTGTGAAGACATTTTTCTATTTAGTTTTTATACATTTAGTTTCACTTTTAGTTTAAGTAGTTTATCAGAGTGAAGGGAAGACGTCCAGTGTCAGCCAGAACACAGTGTAATGTATGCAAAGTTTATACTAACGCTCGTGCAAACCTCATAGTAATAAATAAATGAACAAACATTCAATAAATCACAAAATACAAACTAATTTTGAAATGATGAATTCAGACTAGTTAACCTAATTAACCTAGTGAAGCCTTTAAATGTCACTTTAAGCTGTATAGAAGTGTCTTGAAGAATATCTAGTCTAATATTATTTACTGTCATCATGACAAAGAGAAAATAAATCAGTTATTAGAGATGAGTTATTAACACTATTATGATTCGAAATGTGTTGAAGAAATCTGCTCTC